CGCGTTTCCATTCAAATTAGACTAAAATTTCACCTGAGTTTTGTTCATTTGTACGTTTAAAACCAAATTTGACTAAAATTTCACTTAAGTTTCGTTCATTGGCTTGTATAAAATCAAATTTGACTAAAATTTCATCTAAATTTTGTTAGTTGGCACGTTTCCCATCAAATTTGACTAAAATTTCACATAGGGTTGGTTCACTGGCACAATTCCAATCAAATTTTGCTAAAATCTTACCAAGATTTTGTTCATTGGCGTGTTCTAATCAAATTTGACTAAAATTTCACTAGGATTTTGTTTGTTAGCAAGTTCCAATCAAATTTGACTAGAATTTCATCTGAATTTTGTTCATTGGTGCATTTTCAATCAGATTTGACCAAAATTTCACTTGAGTTTGGTTCATTAGTGCGTTTACAATAAGATTTCACTAAAATTTCACATGACTTTGGTTCACTGGCGCATTTCGAATCAAATATGACTACAATTTCATGTGGATTTTTTCGTTGGCACGTTTCCAATCAAATTTGATTAAAATATCACAAAGGTTTGGTTCATTGGTGCGTTTCCAATCAAAATTGACAAAATTTCACTGGAATTTAGTTCATTGACGAGTTTCTAATCAAATTTGACTGAAATTTCACCAAGATTTTGTTCGTTCGTACGTTTCCAACCAAATTTGACTAGAATTTCAAACCACTTTGGTTCATTGGCACATTTTGAATTAAATTTGACTAAACTTTTCAAGGGAATTTTTTTGTTGGCGCGTTTCCATTTAAATTTGACTAATAAATTTCAACTGAGTTTTGTTCATTGGAGCGTTTAAAATCAAATTTGACTAAAAATTTTCCAGAGTTTTGTTCATTGGCTTGTATCAAATCAAATTTGACTAAAATCTCATCTGAATTTTGTTAGTTGGCACATTTCCCTTCAAATTTGACTAAAATTTCACATGGGTTTAGTTCATTGGCATAATTCCAATCAAATTTGACTAAAATTTTACCGAGATTTTGTTTATTGGCATGTTTCTAATCAAATTTAACTAAAATTTCACCAAAATTTTGTTCGTTTGTAAGTTTCCAATTAAATTGACTAGAATTTCATCTAGATTATGTTCATTATTGCATTTTCAATAAGATTTGACTAAAATTTCACCTAAGTTTAGTTCATTGGCATGTTTACAATAAGATTTGACAAAAATTTCACATGACTTTTGGTTCACTGGGACATTTTGAATCAAATTTGACTACAACCTCTGTGGATTTTTTCTTTGGCATGTTTTCAGTCAAATTTGAATAAAATTTCACTAGGATTTGGTTCATTGGCACGTTTCCAATCAAATTTGACTAAAATTCAACAGGAACTTAGTGCATTGGCGAGTTTCTAATCAAATTTGACTGAAATTTCACTAGGATTTTGTTCGTTCATGCGTTTCCGATCAAATTTGACTAGAATTTCAAATGACTTTGGTTCTTTAGCACATTTTGAATCAAATTTGACTAGACCTTCATGCGAATTTTTTCGTTGGTGAGTTTCCATTCAAATTTGACTAAAATTTCACACGAGTTTTGTTCACTGGAGCGTTTCCAATAAAATTTAACAAAAATTCAACCTGAGTTTCATTCATTGGCTTGTATCAAATCAAATTTGACTAAATTCTATCTGAATTTTGTTAGTTGGCGCATTTCCAGTCAAATTTGACTAAAATTTCACATGGGTTTGGTTCACTGGCGCGATTCCAATCAAATTTCACTAAAATTTCAACGGGATTTTTTTCATTGGTTTGTTTTTAATCAAATTTAACTAAAATTTCACCAGGATTTTGTTCGTTAGTAAGTTTCCAATCAAATCAGACTAGAATTTTATCTGAATTTTGTTCATTGACACATTTTCAATCAGATTTGACTAAAATTTCACCTAAATTTGGTTCATTGGGGGCGTTTACAATCATATTTGACTAAAATTTCACATGACTTTGGTTCATTGGCACATTTCGAATCAAATTTGACTACAATTGCAAGTGCATTTTTTCGTTGGCACGTCCAATCAAATTTGACTAGAATTTCTTTTGAATTTTTTTATTGTTGCGTTTTCAATCAGATTTGAATAAAATTTCACCTAAGTTTGGTTCATTGGCGCATTTATAATAAGATTTGACTAAAATTTCACTGGACTTTGGTTCACTGGCACAATTCGAATCAAATTTGACTAAAATTTCTAGCGGATTTTTTCATTGGCAGGTTTCTAATCAATTTTGACTAGAATCTCATGAGGGTTTGGTTCATTAGCGCATTTCCAATCAAATTTGTCTAAAATATCACCGAAATTTAGTGCATTGGCGAGTTTCTAATCAAAATTTTACTAAAATTTCACTAGGATTTTGTTCGTTCGTGCATTTCCAATCAAATTTGACAATAATTTCACACGACTTTAGTTCATTGGCACATTTTGAATCAAATTTGACTAGACCTTCATGCAAATTTTTTCATTGCCACATTTCCATTCAAATTTGACTAAAATTTCGCAAGAGTTTTGTTCATTAGAGCATTTCTGATCAAATTTAACTAAAATTTAACCTGGGTTTTGTTCATTGGCTTTTACCAAATCAAAATTGACTAAAATTTCATTTGAAATTTGTTAGTTGGCGCGTTTCCTGTCAAATTTGACTAAAATTTCATAGGAATTTTGTTCATTGGTGTGTTTCTAATCAAATTTGATTAAAATTTCACATGGGTTTGGTTCACTAGCACGATTTCAATCAAATTTGACTAAAATATCACCGGGATTTTGTTCATTGGCATGTTTCTAGCCAAATTTGACTAAAATTTCACTAGGATTTTGTTCGTTAGTAAGTTTCCAATCAATTTTGATTAGAATTTCATTTGGATTTCGTTCATTGACACATTTTCAATTAGATTTGACTACAATTTCACCTGAGTTTGGTTCGTTGGCACGTTTAGAATTAGATTTGACTAAAATTTCACATGAATTGGGTTCACTGGCACATTTCGAATCAAATTTGACAACAATTTCATGCGAATTTTTTCGTTAGCACTTTTCTATTCAAATTTGACTAAAATTTCACCTGAGTTTTGTTCATTTGTACGTTTAAAACCAAATTTGACTAAAATTTCACTTAAGTTTCATTCATTAGCTTGTATAAAATCAAATTTGACTAAAATTTCATTTGAAATTTGTTAGTTGGCACGTTTCCCATCAAATTTGACTAAAATTTCACATAGGTTTGGTTCACTGGCACGATTCCAATAAAATTTTACTAAAATTTCATCGGGTTTTTGTACATTAGCGTGTTTCTAATCAAATCTAACTAAAATTTCACCAGAATTTTGTTCGTTAGCAGGTTTCCAATCAAACTAGACTAGAATTTCATCTGGATTTTGTTCATTTGTGCGTTTTCAATCAGATTTGACTAAAATTTCACCTGAGTTTGATTCATTGGCGCTTTTACAATAAGATTTCACTAAAACTTCACATGACTTTTTTCACTGGCGCATTTCGAATCAAATTTGACTTCAATTTCATGCGATTTTTTTGTTGACACGTTTCCAATCAAATTTGACAAAAATATCACAACGATTTGGTTCATTGGCGCGTGTCCAATCAAATTTGATAAAATTTCACCAGAATTTAGTTCACTAAGTTTCACCAAGATATTGTTCGTTCGTGCGTTTCCAATCAAATTTGACTAGAATTTCATACGACTTTGGTTCATTGGCACATTTTCAATCAAATTTGACTAAACTTTCACGCGAATTTTTTCGTTGGCGCGTTTCCATTCAAATTTGACTAAAATTTCACTTGAGTTTTGTTCATTGGAGCATTTAAAATCAAATTTGACGAAATTTTCATCTGAATTTTGTTAGTTGGTGCGTTTCCCATCAAATTTGACTAAAACTTCACATGAGTTTGGTTCATTGGCGCGTTTCCAATCAAATTTGACTAAAATTTCACCGAAATTTAGTGCATTGGCGAGTTTCTAATCAAATTTTACTAAAATTTCACCAAGATTTTGTTCGCTCGTGCGTTTCTAATCAAAATTGACTAGAATTTCACACGACTTGGTTCATTGGCACATTTTGAATCAAATTTGACTAAACCTTTATGCAAATTTTTTCGTTGCCGCATTTCCATTCAAATTTGACTAAAACTTCACGAGAGTTTTGTTCGTTGGAGCATTTCCAATCAAATTTAATTAAAATTTAACTTAAGTTTTGTTCGTTGGCTTGTACCAAATCAAATTTGACTAAAATTTCATCTGAAATTTGTTAGTTGGCGTGTTTCCCATAAAATTTGACTAAAATTTCACATGGGTTTGGTTCACTAGCGCGGTTCCAATCAAATTTGACTAAAATTTCATCGAAATTTGTTTCATTGGTGTTTCTAATCAAATTTGACTAAAACTTCACATGGGTTTGGTTCACTGGCACGATTCCAGTCAAATTTGACTAAAATATCACCAGGATTTTGTTTATTAGCGCGTTTCTAGTCAAATTTGACTAAAATTTCACCAGGTTTTGTTCGTTAGTAAGTTTCCAATCAAATTTAATTAGAATTTCATCTGAATTTTGTTCATTGACATGTTTTCAATCAGATTTGACTACAATTTTTCCTGAGTTTGGTTCTTTGGCGCATTTAGAATCAGATTTGACAAAAATTTCACATGACTTGGGTTTACCGGCACATTTCGAATCAAATTTGACTACAATTTCATTGAATTTTTTTGTTGGCAAGTTTTCAATCAAATTTGACTAAAATTTTATAAGGGTTTGGTTCATTGGCGTATTTTAAACCAAATTTGACTAAAATTTTACCAGAATTTAGTTCATTGGCGAGTTTCTAATCAAATTTGACTAACATTTCACCACGATTTTGTTCGTTTGAG